GTTGGAACTAGAGGTATTAGTTAAAATTTGTGGGGTTTTAACCACATGGAGAAATACATTTATGAAGCATACACAGAGAAATGTATTTATGAAGTATATACACACATATCCCAGTAATGTTCATTCAAAATGCCTAGAAGCAATGATGTTTCTATTACCAATGAGCACAGCTAATGCCTGGATATTGATTTCAAAATACCATTTTCCACTAAAAGGAACTGGGACTCATTGAAGTAGCCAACTGCAGCACTAAGACAGGGAAGGTAAAGAAGATCTGAACTATCTTCAGCCAGAAAGTCAGGAAGTGTTCAAATGATGATAGGGGTATGTCAAAGGGCTACAAAAGACAGTGTGAAAGGGCTCCTACTGGTCAAACCTGGGAAAATTGAACACAAAATGAAAAATAATAGTACAAAACCTATAGAATAAAATAAGAATCTCTAAGACCATACTGACATGAAAAAAACAAGTACTAGAGCCATACAGACCTAATGCACAGTATAATGAATATAGACACCATAATTATAATTATGTGATGTAATATACATACTACATCACCAATCATTACAATATATAAATCTATCAAAGTAACTTGTTACACACCTTAAATTCACACAATGTTATGTATCAAATTCATTTGTAATGAAGGAAGGAAGGAAGGGAGGGAGGGAGGGAGGAAGGAAGATGTGAAAAGAAAAAAAAATCCTTTGTAATAAAATTCCAGGTAATAACTGTTAAAGGAAGGACAGAATGAACAAATCTCCCATAAGGCAGCCAACACAGTAACAAAAAATTTTTGTAATGGATGATAAAATTATTGAGTGAAAAGAGATGAAGAACAGTCTATTTATATAGTCTCAATGATTCACTCTACAAATTAATTACAAAGAAAAAGAGTAATTTTACTAGGAAGAAACTTGACAAAAACCACCTTAGTAAGTGATCAAAGGTAGTATCACCAGGAACTGGATAAACTGACATCATGTGTCTCCTGATTTAATCAACTGACAAAAAGGTAACACTGTTTCAAACAGACATTCATATTGAAAGACAGTCTATGAAATACCCAACCTGAAATCGTCACAAATGCAAAGATCACCAAGGACAAAAAAATGAGGAAATGTTCCAAATTAAAGGACTTTCTGAAGAGACATGCTAAATAAATTAGACTGATACTGGTTTAGATCTTTATCAGAGAAAAAAATTCTCTTATAAAGAACATTACTTCTGCAATAGGTGAAATTTTTAAAAGGTCTATGGATTAGAGAATCCATATTCTCTAATTTTTGTATTGTATGAATGTTAATTTCCTGATTTTGATTAACTAACTGTGTTTAGGTAACAACATCCTTGTTCTTAGAAAATACACACTGAGTTTTCATAAAGAGGCATCTTGCCTGCAACCTACTCTCCAGTATTAAGAGGAAAAAGAAAAAACAACTACCCACCCCCTCAATATAATCAGAGAGATGATAAAGTAAATGTGAAATGATGTGAACTAGGGAGTCTGGATAATTCTGGTTATAAGGGAATTCTTTGTACTATTCTTGCAACTTAAATTATTTCAAAACAGAACTACTAAAATACTATAAACTTTAGAATATGAGTATATATCTTTATGATGTCAGGGTAACAAAGGATTTCTTTTTCTTTTCTTCTTTTTTTTGGAGATCTATCTAGATAGATAGATAGATATTTAAGATTTTGTTTATTTGAGAGATAAAGAGAGCACTAGAGAGAGAGCACAAGCAGGGGGAGCAGCAGGTAGACAGACAAGCAGGGAGCCTGCCATGGGGCTTGATCCCAGGACCCTGGGATCACAACCTGAGCCGAAGGCAGACCACTTAACCAAGCCATCCAGTCGCTCCAGGAGATATATTTCTTTTTTACCAGCATTTTACTGATGTAGAAACTGGGATACACAGAGGTTCCACAACTTGCTCAAAGTCACACAGCTAGTTAAAGGAAGAAGTTACAGTTCACTAATTTGTTTCTACTGAACAATGAAAATAATGACAAAGAAAAAAAAGTTGGTTTTTGTCACTGATTCATTCATTCAGTCTTGAGCTGAGTTCGATTCAGTTCCAAACACAGTTTTTAGTTACTAAAAGCAGGCCTAGGTCCTTTGGGGGGAAAAAAACACATTTTTTTTTCAGGTTACCTACAAAAGTGGGTTCCTTGATAATTAGTAACAGCTTCCCAATCTCTATCAAGCCGTGGTACTAGACTCTGGCTTCTAAACTGAAGAATACACTTTCCTTGGCTTTGTAGCTCAATGGCCTATGCTAACAGCTAATGATTTTGTTTAATGGATAGACCTTTCTCTGAATTCAGCAGTAATTTGGCATATTAGATAACAGGCAGGTGTCTATCTATTCTTTTATAACCTTTCTTGGTCCTAACATATTAACTTCAATTTTTAAAAAAATTTATTTTTTTAAATTAACATGTAATGTATTATGGGTTTCAGAGGTAGAGATCAGTGATTCATCAGTCTTATATAATACTCAGTGCTCATTATAGCACATGCCCTCCTTAATGGCCATCAGCCAGTTACCTCATCCCCATCCCCCAGCAACCCTCACTTTGTTTCCTATAATCAAGAGTTCCTTATGGTTAGTAACAAAGGATTTCTTAAACAAGACATAAAGAACACAAATATAAAGAACATGGCAAATAATACATCTGACTAAATAAAAATACCATGACAAGAATAAACCAATAAGCCAAAAATGGAAGAAACTATTTGTAATACATAAAACCAACAAAGGACTAGTAGGTATGATATATATTTAAAAATTCCCACAAAAAGAAAACAAGAAAAAAACAAGCCAAACACACACACAAAACGGCAACAAAGTTAAAGAGTAAGGGACAATGGCCAATAAATAAAAATACATTCAACCTCAAGGGTGATCAGGAAAATCTCACAGCAGCATTGTCCGTAATAGCCTCAAGCTAAAACAACCCAACCGTCTATCAACAGAGGAATGGATAAACAAACGGCAGTATATTCATACAATGGGTATCTATACACTTGATACTGAGAATGAATAAGCAATAGCCACATATATACATATATAAATATGGATGAATCACAAGTCACAAAAGAAGATGAAGAGCATGATACCATTTACATAAAATTCTAAATAAAGGATGAAAAAATGTTTAAATTAGCACTTAGGGCTGCATAATGGGTGGTAAGAAAAACACACACAAGGGAAAAGCAGAAAAGCAAAAGAATGATTACCATCAAATTTGAGACTGATCTTGCAGCAGGGAGGGAGAGAACATAATCAATGAGAGGGCTACAAAGAATGTTTCTTCAGGCTGTATAAATATATTATTCCTTAGCCTGGGTGATAACTACATGGGTGTTAAGAAATATATTTGCATATTTTAGAAGCTCTTCTAATGGTATAATGTATGTCACTAAAAACAGAGTAATTATGACTTAAGCTAGGAACTGTAAAGAACCTTTAAGGAAAAAAAAAGAACAGAAAGTGAAGTAGGAAACGCTCAGGAGACTGGTACTGCAGAAGCCAAGAGGAAAAAAACAAGGGAACAGTGAACTGCATCAAATATTAGCGAGAAGCAGAGTAAACATTCACATAATACTAAAAAAAAAAATTATTATTCTCTGTTGATGAATTAGTTATCTTAAGATGGAGACATTACTTTGCATTGAGATTTACTGAAACAATGAAAAAGGATGTTACTATTCTGATATTGTATATTCAGAAACCAAAATTCTTGATCATATTTTTAAAATGTCCTCCTCCCACAATGTAGGATATTAATTACATCAACAGTATATATTCAGTTACTAGAATAAGTGCAATTCTGCATTTGATAGCCAAGTTTTAGTAAACTTTAATTACAGCCTCAATTATGTATTGCTGGAACTGTGATTACAAAGACCTTTGGGCTCTACCAAACTGGATATGCTGAGTAGAGGCTGGTAACCAATATTATAACACAAAAATCTGGTTAGACCAAGACAAAAGTTTTAACAATGTAGGAACATGAACTACAATTCACTTGGCTTTTCCAGTTATAAATAACAAAAGGCTTTTACTTGGAAATGAAGTTACAAACTACTTTCCAGAAAATGCTGGGCACTTGGCTAAGGATTCATTTTTCTCACCTGTAAAATAAAGATGGACTAAATACCACTTAAGGGCTCAATAAGCAGTATTTCATGGTGTCATCTGAGAAAGGGAAACCAATCACAATGGGAAATAAAATTTAATACTGATCTAGATAATAAACCACACTTCTGAGGGCTACAAAACAAAAAAGTATCATACATTAACCTAATGATATAACTGGGCCATTCACTGCTCCTTCCTTTTTTGTTTTAAAACTATAAATCTATTGATAACTAATTTTAAATAAGTACAAAAAGCTCTTCAAAGCAGTATTTGCAGAGACAATTCAGAAGGCTGTATTTTTATTATGAAAAAATGCAACTTCACACAAATTAAAGATAAAAACAGGAGTTCTGATATTTAAAAAACCAAACAAAGTAAGATAAATTCTCTTCTCAAAGAAGAGGATTTCTATGGGATTATGCCATTTACATAAAGGGCACTAATTTAGGCCCTAGTTTTAAAATACCACTACTTCAGAAGAGAGAAGCATTTCTTTCAAGAGCACTTATATCAATATTCTATGGCTATAAATCAACACATTCAAAGCCATGTTAATATGTAACACTATTAATTTGAAGGAAATGGTTGTATGGCTTATAAAAGAATGTGTAAGATTAATGTTAGAAAATAAGTTTTTAACTCAATTTTAGATAATCCATTTGTTTTTGCCAACTAACAAAATCTACTAATATTAAGATTTAATCAGCGAACACATTTTATTCCAAGATTTTTTTCTTTCCTTTAGAAATCCTGAGAGAATCCAAGAAGAAAAAGGGTGATACACATGGATTAATAAACTTATAATTTCAGAAAACTTGCTTTGTGACTCAAAATGGAACTACTCACCAAAAGCAGCGGCCATAGGGGGTTCAAGGGATGGCTGGCCATCACCAGTAGGAAGGTCTAAACGAGTGAAGTCTCTGCTTTTGTCATTATTATATTTCACATTAAGGCTGGTGAGCTTGGAGAAGTCAATACGCAGAGTGCAGCATGCATTATAGATATTCTGGCCATCCAGAGCCTAAAGCATGTAAGAAAGGGACTGATGTTTTGCAAGGCAACAACACTGATAAATCAAGTAGCTTCTACTTTGACAGAGAGTGGCAATCAAGTATAAAGCAGAGAGAAATGGACTAATAGCCAAAGACCTGTGTTTACTTGTACCTCTGTCACTCACTATGTGAACATAAGAGAGAAAAAGAAAATCTCAGTTTTTCACAATGTTATAATAATCCCTATCTTATCTGTGGTAAGATCAAATGAAAGAAGAGAAATGTAAAAGCTTGGAAAAATATTATACATTATTGAGCATAGTACTAGCTATCATTTTAATTATTTTGTCCCAACAAATGTTTAAGAATGATTTGATTTTATATTTCATCTTAACTTTTTAGTATACTTTATGTAGGTTAAGATAAATAAAGCCTTTGTAAATGGAACTTGTAAGAACCACAACATATGAAGTATCTATCTCTTTTTTTTTCTCCTGTAAATTTATTTTATAATAGTCTGAATAACAATCTGAGGGAAATTTTGCAGTCAGTTCTGATATAAGACCAGAAATCAGCAAAGCCTCCCTTCACAACAACAAAAACTTATCAAAGGGATATTTGTAGTCACTTGACTTCCACAAATGCTAAGATTTATAAAAACAGAAATCAGAAACCAAAATACATAAGAAAATGCAAATATACAAAAATATTTATAATAAGTTACTGATGAGTACATTATCATAATGGTATAAAATAATATATATAGACAAAGGGTACAGCAAATATAAAGTCTATACTCCTAAACAAAAGGCCAGACAGTATACAAAAAACTACTAGAAGCCTTAGTCCCTATCTTTGAAAAGAAATTAGAAATAATTCAGATACTGATACCAGAGAGAATTAGGGTTAGGAACAGATCTCAGTAAGACATCGGTGAAATATAACCAAACTGAACATGAAATCTTACATCTTGTCAAAACCCAAGCACACACACACAAACACAAAAGGAAGAAAAAGGGGGCAATATAAACCAACAGCAGCAAACTTCCTAAAATGTAGTATCTTCACCAATTCAGAGCTCAACAAAATTCAATAGCAAATATGGTTACAAAAACGATGATATCAACCAATATGGCTAATTTAATAGAAGAAAATGAAGACACAAGGACAAAGAAAATTCTACTTTACTAGTCAGATTTTATTAGGAATACTGTGCTCCACTCTAGACTTTATATATGACAGAAATGAGTCCCAAAGATCTGAGAAGTGATAAATGATTTGAAACCATTTCATATGAAGGAAGTTAATTTTTATTTATTACTTTAAAAAGCATATGGAACAGTGCCTTTAAAAACAAAATTTTATATTATGTATATACTATAAAAACACATTGTGAACTACAATAAGGGAAAAGACATGATGGCATTCTTTGCTATCACTGAAGTGACTGATAAATGAAAAATAAAGAAAGATCATAATTACCATTTTGGCATAATGTGCATTCACTGGGTCAGCATATTGAAGCAAGGCTTGAAACTGATTATTCTTTGTAAAGGTGATAATCTTCAAGACAGTGCCAAATTTGGAAAATATCTGGAAAAAGTTCACATTAGCAAGGAAGAAATTAGGCTAATGTACCTTTATAAATATAACTTGATTCATGAATTCCATTTTTATTTATTCTTTTTTTATAAATATTTATTTATTTGACAGCGAGACACACAGTGAGAGAAGGAACACAAGCAGAAGGAGTGGGAGAGGGAAAAGCAGGGAGCCCAATGTGGGGCTTGATCCCAGGACCCTGGGATCATGACCTGAGCTAATGGCAGAAGCTTAACAACTGAACCACCCAGGTGCCCCACGAACTCCTTTTTTATTAAATGAAAATAATTTCCTCTATTAAAACTGTTGGTACAGGGACACCTGGGTGGCTCAGTTGGTGAAGTGTCTGCCTTTGGCCCAGGTCATGATCCCAGGGTTCTGGGATCAAATCCCACATTGGGCTCCTTGCTTGGCAGGGAGCCTGGTTCTCCCTCTGCCTCTGCCTGCCACTCCCCCTGCATGCATTTGCATGCGCGCTCTCTGACAAATAAAATCTTAAAAACAAAACAAACAAAAAAACTGTTGATACAAAAATGACTTATACCCATGCATGGCTTAAAACAGTGCCTGACGCAGTGCATGACAACAGGCACTCAAGTATTTCACCTATTTTACAGTATGTCATAACTGGCACAATACTGACAACATGACACTACAATAGGAATTAATCAGTGTTATGAGATAATGGTGTTACAAAGCATATGAATGAAACCGGAAGAGTCCTGTGGATCAGCTATTTCACCATGAGAATCAGCATCTATTTCTTGAGATTTTTATAGGCAGAGAAACTACAAAATGTTCCTCTAGAGGCTGCTCCATTAATTCATTCAATATTCACAGAGCACTGTTCTACACCCTGGGAAATCACCAGTGAATAACAAGAGCCTCTGCCTTGAGGAAGGATAGACCATAAATAAATAACATGATGTCTCATCATAAAAAAGTGTTATGAATAAAAATGAAATGAAAAAGGATGAGAAATATCAAGTGCTGGGGAGGATGTGGAGAAAACAGAACTCCTGTGCACTGTTGGTGGGAATGTAAAATGGTGTAGCTGCTATGGAAAATAGTATGGTGGTTCTTTGAAGAAATAAAAAATACAATTACCATATGATCCAACAATTCCATTTCTGAGTATAAACCCAAAAGAACTGAAAGCAGGGATTCAAAGAGCTATTTGTATACCCATGTTCAACAGCCTTATTTGCAATAGATGGAAGCAACCTAAATATCCACCCACAAAAATGTGGTAAATATACGCAATGGAATATTACTCAGCCTTTAAAAGAAAGGACATTCTGACACATGCTACAACATGGATGAACCTTGAAGACATTTAAGTGAAATATGCCAGTCACAAAATGAAAAATTATGCATGACTCCACTTATATGAGTAACCTATAATAGTCAAATTCACAGAGACAGCAAGTAGAATCTTAGTTACCAGTAGCTGAGAGAAAGGGGAAATGAGGAATTATTGTTTAATGGGTTTCAGCTTAGGAAGATAAAAAAAATTTTGTAGATACAAGATGTTTGGTGATAACTGAAAAACAATGTGAGCGTACTTAATGTTACTGAACTACACAATTAAAAGAGGTTAAAATAGTAAAACATATATATATTTTAAACCCCTCAAAATAAACCATCTTAAAGTCCAAATACTAATTTTTGGCAAAAATATTCCTTAACATATTATCTATCAGCTCAGAGTCAGACACTTCTTAGAGGAGATAGTACTATTTACCAAGATTTGTGGAAACAATCTGTCCTAGAAGAGCTAACCAAAAAATGTTATTATTTAAAATCAGATGTCTGAGGGTTCTTTATTTAATGTCTTTAAAAATGCAGATAATTTAATTATGCTCATATTTAGAACTCCAGGATCTTAATCTCTCATTTAACTATTTTGAAAAACATAAGTAATTTGCTTTTGTATTTTTTAAAAAAGATTTTATTTATTCATTTGACAGAGAGAGACACAGCAAGAGAGGGAATACAAGCTGGGGGAGTGGGAGAGGGAGAAGCACGCTTCCCGCAAAGCCATGTAAAAATACAAAAACAAGGCACCCCTTGTTTTTGTATTTTTAATGGTCCTGTAACAGGCATTTCTTCAGTATACTTGTGTGTCCTAGATAACAGTCTTAGAATTTATAAAAGAATACCAAACTGCTATTATCAAATACTATCTCTGAGTGTCCCTAATAGCCAAATGGTCCTCCCTTTTTAACTGGGAGGCCTGTGTGGCACAGTCAGTTAAGTGTCTGCCTTCAGTTCAGGTCATGATCTTGGGGCGCTGCTCAAGCCCTGCGGCAGGCTCCCTGCTCAGCGGGGAGTCTGTTTCCCCCGTCCCCTACCCCAACTCATGGTGTCTCTCTCTCAAATAAATAAATAAATAATTTTTTTTAAAAGGACCAAATGTGCCTTCTCACATGACTATCAAAGAATATAGATTTTATGTTGTATCTTTCTTTAAGATATAAACATTCTTGGGAAAAGGTCTTGTATTTTCCTTATTTCAGCCTTTGGTGATACTATGGTCACACATACAACCCCCAATCTAAATATTATGAGTGCATCAACTGAATGTTGGCTAAAGGAGTAGCAACAGATTTTTTTACTGCAGCCACAGGTAGTATTCTAAAGTACAAGATTATATCATATATAATTTTGCCCTGGTGTACTTCTCTAACCACATTTCCTGATACTTTTTATACCACACTATTTACACCAACAATGTGCAGTTGTCTATAGTTCTCTAAATATACAAAGTGGTTTCAGACTTCTAAGCCTACACGTGTGGGTATTCCCTTTTCTTAGAACTCTGTGCCGAAACCAATATATTTTCGTTTATCTTTTCCAAAACTCAGCTCAGGAAGTAATGACACCAGAAAATTCTCTGCCTCTTCCAAATATAAACAGAGTTCATTCTCTTTCCAGAGTATTACTCCCTTCTTGGTCTTGAATATAAGTATTTATTTTGTTTTACTTACATTGTACTACTATACATTTGTCTACTTATCTGCCTCCTTTAATTAGACTGAGAGCTTCTTGAAGGTATATACTTTGTCTTAATCATTTCTATATCACTGAGTGTAATTCTTAACATATAAATAGGTACACAGTAAATGCCTTTTATTAACTGATAAAGAAGTATATACTCAGACCTGATTGGAGAATTATAGTAACACACAGGTTTTGTTTTGTTGTTGTTGTTTTTTTTTTAATATTTTATTTATGTATTTGACAGACAGAGATCACAAGTAGGCAGAGAGGCAGGCAGAGAGAGAGGAAGAAGCAGGCTCCCGGCCAAGCAGAGAGCCCTATGCGGGGCTCGATCCCAGGATCCCGGGATCATGACCCGAGCTGAAAGCAGAGGCTTTAACCCACTGAGCCACTCAGGTGCCCCAGCACACAATTTTTTTAAAAAACAAAAAACACGACTGGGTGGCCCAGTGTTAAGCGTCTGCCTTTGGCTCAGGTCATGATCCCAGGACCCTGGGATCAAGTCCCACATCAGGCTCCTTGCTCAGTGGGGAGCCTGCTTCTCCCTCAGCCTGTCATTTCCCCTGCTTGTGCGCTCTCTCTCTGACAAATAAATAAATAAAATCGAAAAGAAATTTTTTTAAATAAACATTTTTGATGTAAAATATTAATGAAATAGCAAGAACATATAATTTGTTCTCAAATTTGGAATAATTTTACACTAAATTATGCACAGAACTTAGTTAATTTTAACTTAACTTTCAGATTTCCTTAATGTTTATATTCTTTCTCTCATTTAACTTGAACACCAAGTACAATGTACATCCTGTTGTTGGGCTGTGTGATTTTTAACGAATGTGCTAACAGAATATAAATGGACTGAACTAGGGGTGCCTGGGCGGCTCAGTCATTAAGTGTCTGCCTTTGGCTCAGGTTGGTCCTGGAATGGAGCCCCACATCAGGGTCCCTGCTCAGTGGGAAGCCTGCTTCTCCCTCTCCCACTCCCCCCGCTTGTGTTCCCTCTCTTGCTGTCTCTCTGTCATATAAATAAACAAAATCTTTTAAAAAATTAATAAATAAAAAATAAATGGACCGAACTGGCTAATCATGGAGAGTTATCCAGAGTCCCCTCGACTGTATTTGTTGAGAGAGGAACTACAAAGATCATTCTGATACTTCTGAACAAAGTAAGTGAGGACCAACATCAGGGAATCCAGGCTAATGCCTCAAGTGTGATTTTTAACATCTTTTCATAATTACCAAAATACTAATTTTTAAACAAATTTGGTCTCATAAGATTATCATGTGGGAAAGTTTAATATGTATAGATTCATTAATATTGATTACAATAATAATTTGACACTGTGACTCTATTTCCCTAATATACTTATTTTGCTGTCATAAATGCACAGACTCAACTCTTGATGTTTCCTGTGCATTTTAATCTTTTCAGACTTTAAAAATGGGATAAAGAGAATACTAAGATCAAAGTCAGGTAAAATTAATCTTCATCATGATTTTTATAAAAGTAGCACTTACTAGAGACTGAAAAAGTTCATTTGTATTCACTTGTAAAAAGTGTATTGGCCATAATTTGTTTACAACAGTTTTTGTACCCAACAAAACGGTAAGACTTAAGAACCAGAATTTTATTTTATTATTTTTAAAAATATTTTTTTTTATTTATTTGAGAGAGAGCGAGCAAGCACAAGCAGGTAGAGAGGCAGAGGGAGAAGCAGACTCCCTGCTGAGCAAGGAGCCTAACGTAGGACTTGATCCCAGGACTCCAAGATCATGACCCGAGCCGAAGGCAGCCTCAAGAACAAGAATTTTACATTACTAGCACTGATTCTTTCAATATCGAAATAATTGCTTTTTCCAAGTTATTTTTCTTTGTTCTGCAATTCAAAACGATCAGTCCTTTATCCCAAAGACATTCATCTAATGGACATTCATAAAAGTCCCCCATAAATAACAGTACTTGAAAGTAATGGATTATATGAGAACATTGTTTTGAACTTTTTCAGCGCACAAAGGAATTTTTTAGTATGCAGGTTGAATTTACACTATGGATCAGTCGATAAATGTCCTCTTTATAAATACTCTATGTGACGCCATCTAATCCAGTGGTTTTAATTACCGCCCATACGCTGATGATAACCACATCTCCAGCCCTGAATTCTTAACCCAATCCAGACTTATTTACGAACTGTCTATTCAACATCTACCACTTGCATGCCTAATAGGAAGCTTAACATCTCCAAACCACTACCTCCCACCCTTGCCCCAAATCTTTTTGCCCCTTCACTCAGTCTTCATTATCTTAGTACAAGATTGCTGTATTTAGCAGAGGCTCATACCTAAAGTCTCAAAGGCATTCCTGATTACTTCTCTTTTTCTTCATAATCCACATCTACTCAAACCATCTGCAAATCCTTCCAAATACATCCATTATCATCACTGCCTGTGACAACATCCTCACGTGGGTCTCACCATCTCTCATCTGGACTATGCCAAGATCGTCCACTTACACCTATACGTTTATTCTTAACATAGCAACAAGAGTGATTTCACTGCAACATAAATCTATCATTTTACTACTGTACTCAAAATCTTCTAATAGCTTCCCATCAGATGGATCCCAAACCTTCTGAGACGCTATCATTTATGGCCTTCCTACTTCTTACACTACAACAACATAGTCTCATTTCTGATATTTCAAAGCATTAAAGCACACTTCCACTTTAGAGACTCTGCATTTCCTGTTCTGACTAGATCATTATGCTACCACATGTACACATAACTTATATCCTCACATACTTCAAGCCTCTGCTCAAATGTCATATTGAAAAGCTCCTTAGCCTTCCTCATCTGAAATAGCACTGCTCTCATCTCAGCCACTCAATCCCCTCACCATGAGCTAAAGAAAAAACACTAGCTTCAATGGATGTTAGAGAACAGTTAAGCTAATGGCAACTCTTCAGCAAAAAGTATAAAATAATCTGCTAATTAATTATAACAGAAGCAACAAAATCCACACTTCCATGTACTCCTTCATCACAATATTCATCACATTTTATGCTATTACTTATGAAATTATATCTTAATAGACAAGACAATAAGAGCAAGGATTAGTTTATTAGTAGCATTTTAGTAATGCAATTTAGTAATGCAATCAAATGCAATTTACTAGCATCTGATAATTACAGCTAACATTTCTTGAGCACTTAATATGTACCTTTCAAATATATACCTTAATATGTACACTTCTCTAGGGGCTTTAAATGCATATAAATAATAAAAAGATACAAAGAGGGTAAGTTACTTGCTCATGGTTATAGAGACCGTAAGTGACAGAGCCAAGATTTAAACCAGCTCGAGACCTTGTATCCTTAATCATTATGCTATTCTACACTTTCGTTGGCTAATGATACAAAGTGCTGGAGGAGAGGGCTTAACATAATTAGAGAAAGAATGAAGAGGTAAATTTGACCTGAAAATTGAATGAGGTAGATTCAACAAAGTGACTAACTCAGGGAAGAGTGCTCCAGGCCTAAGAAATAGAAATGGACTAAGACAGGAATTAATTGGGGGGAGAGGAAACAGTAAAGGGGCCAGAAAAGCTGGGGGCTAAATAAGCAAAATATTAGGAAAAGAGGTTAAAGAGATGGGGAGAGGTCTGCATATGGGAACCTGAAGGGCCTTAGTAAGGACTTTGGTTTTATTCCACCAGCAGTGGGAATGGAGTGCAGTTAGCTGAAAGGCTGAGAGTCTTACCCCAATGGTTACTACTTGGACTCTCAGAATCACTCCTCTTCACCCTGAAGGACCCTGTGATCTTTTGGGAGAGAAACAAGGTTTATTACTGCTCCCAGTGAAACGATAACTGGAATGATGGGACAGGACCACATGACGGTAGCTAAGTTCAAGGCTGTTTGATGGCAATGTTGACCACAGGGACAAAAACACCTTTTGTAAGTTAGATAGCAATAGTTTCAATGTTACAGTTACAAAAGCAAACGCTGCTGATGGATCATAGAGTGTTCAGTAACACTCTGGGGTAACAAGAGAAGAAAATCTACCAGAACCAAGAAGCCAATCACTTAAGCAACTGTTGAACCCTGTTAAGGAATGAGGGTGGCTATGGATAGCACTGTTAGAGCCCTCCCTGAGATAAATTTCACAAATGCATTTATTTAGAAAATGGCTTGCAAAAAGCTATCATAGGGAACACAGTAGGTCTAATAAATGGTATATTTTGATATTTACATGCATGGCACAGGAACTATATCTGAGCTTTATTGCCGATTAGTACAAAGACTGTGGGAGAGTAATAACTTTTAAAGACCCCAGTTTCCTTATCGATAAAATGTGAGACTAGGATGGAATGCAATTCTTAACTACACGTGCACATATATACCCCTATGATTCTTCACTTAGTAATGTAAATCCAAAGGTCTGGAAAACAATTAAATGATTCTGGACTGACTTGGTATCATGCTATGCAATATATATTGAGATATAAATATGAAATAAGCATGTTTTAGTGTTTTAACATTTTGATATATGGGCTGACAGGTATAATGAAATGGAATCAATATGCAGCAAAAGAGGACAAAAACTAACTGAAGGTTTTGGGCTAGATGCAAATGTTCATGCATACAGGTTACCAAGTAACTGTACATTTTGAGGATATGTGTATATATGGAGCATTAGTTAAAAATATAACAAGCACTCAAATCAGGAGGCTTGAGTTCTAACTGGCTTTTCAATTACTCTCTACAATATTTAATTAATCAATTACTGGAGTCTGTTTTATCCACTATAAAATTATGTAACTAAGTGAGTTTCCAGTTCTTAAATTCAATATATTCATAGTAGGCCATGATCTGGTGGAGTGTCTTTTATCACAACAGTTTAGAAATATTAATGAGTAGCCTATGAAAACTATGTTATCAGTCAGTACTTAATATGATACTTCTATTTTACACACCTTTTTTATCACACACCTTTATCACACACCTTTCAGAGTTTTTAAAATGAAAATACTCATATGAAAGGAGTCAAAAGAAATAAGTTAGTTGTTTTCTATATTGATTTAACTTTCTAGGAATAATTATTACTAGTGGTTTTTATAGGATTTTATAATTTGTTCATTTTCATGCTTAGGTAATAAGAATTTCTTATATATCCCTTTAAATCAAGTATTTTAGTTAGAAAAAGGAAGCTATCAAAAAATTATCTCTAGGGTGCCTGGGAGGCTCAGTTAGTTAAGCATCTGCCTTTGGCTAGGTCATGATCTCAGGGTCTTAGAATCGAGTCCCACATCGGACTCTTTGCTCAGTAGGGAGTCTGCTTCTCCCTCTCCCACTGCCACTCCCCCTGCTTGTGTTCTCTGACAAATAAACAAATAAAGTCCTTAAAAAAATTTATCTCTAATTGATACTATTTCTTACCTGAAACAGGATGTTGAAGGCTTTTTAAAAAATTATTATTATTTAAACAAATATACCAACCAAAATCAACAACCAAAAAACTCTAAAGATAATAAAACATCAAGGGTTTGGAGGTCACATGTGTCTCTTAAGAGTGTTATTCCACTTTACCTGATGAAGAACTTCCAGAGTAACAGGGTAAAAGAGGTTTTCAATAATTATTCGGAGCACAGGGCTCTGCCCAGGTAGGATTGTGCCTTCATTGGTAGGAGCTCCAGGAAGGGCCAGACTTCCCGACTGGACAGCACTGACAGCCTGCAATGCAGCTTGGGCTCTCTATAAAATGATCCAAAATGAGAACTTTTAGTTACACTGAAGCACTACATGAATCCTAAAAATCAGTTGGTGTAAAGTACTATGAAGTAATATAGTTAGATAAAAATATACATATCTACTTTCTCTAGATGCACATATATCCTAAATCTGTAATCAGTTAAGATTCAAAGTCTTGCTTTCATGTAACAATGACACAATATTTAAGAAAGGTGCTTAAATTTACTTGAATGAAAAAAAAAAAACAAAACACATGGCGAAGAGGAAAATTTGGATGTGGATTTTTATCTCCTAATTTTTTCAAAGAGCATGTGTGCGAACGGGGGTAGGGTGTGGGCAGAGGGAGAGAAGAGAATCCCAAGCAGACTCCACGCTGAGTGCAAGCTGACGTGGGGCTCGATCCCACTACCCACGAGATCAGGAACAGAGCCAAAACTGAGAGTTGAACTGAGCCACCCAGGAGCCCTTTTATTTCCTAATTTTGAAATGACAGTAAGAAAAAAAAGTGAAAGTAACATTAAAGATGACTTAGAAACCACTCAAGTACCTCTTCCTTTTCTCTCCCTAAACAATTGAGTTCTAAAACCTTTGGGTGGCATCTGCTAGATGCAAATATGGAATAGAGAAGCTACAGTGGTTCAGAGGGGGTTAGGAATGCATCCCTATAGGAAGGCATCCTGGCATGAGCATCACGTGAGCCCAAGCAATGTCAGGAGAACATCTGTGTTGTCGGGCTGCCTGGCAAGGGAAACATGAGCCCAAACAAGATATGAACCTTCTATGTGTGGGGGTGGCTCACTGCTAGACATAAGAACCTGAGGAACAGAAGAAGGGTACAAAGGACGGACAGTCAGAAAAGGGTCCACACAGTGTGGACTAATATAGTGAAGATAGTCTGAGCAAAGTGAAGATCAGGTCCATGAGGGCCTGAATGGGGTAAGGAGGTAATTCAATGGTGGGGCAGCCTGGCATGAGATGTAAGAGCACAAGCAGGGTCAGGCAGACAAGCTTCTTCTCTTTTTTAGTAACACGACAATATTTATTTATAATTAAACATTTATGGAACACTATGTGCAGGCATCATTCTAAGCACTCACTACACAAATATCTCTAATTCTCACAACAATTTATGAGGTGTGTACTATTTTTTTTTAAGATTTATTTATTTGAGAGAGAGAGAAAGCAGGAGCAGGAGGAAGGGCAGGGAGAAAGGGAGAAGCAGACTCCCCGCTGAGCAGGGAGCCTGATGCGGGGCTTGATCCCAGGACTCTGCCATCATGACCTGAGCCGAAGGCAGATGGTTAACGGACTGAGGCACCCCTTTTTTTATACTTTTAACAGCATCTTTAGGCCCTACATACTTTTATGTATCAGGTAATATACAAAGTGCCTAACATCCAGTTTCCAAAGAATCATTTTTGAGAACAGTATATGAATAATTACTTGAAAATTTTATACCATTGGTTTTCGAAACTATGCTCTTTAAAATACAGCAATGCCCATGGAAAACCGAGCATCCTAATCCTGCTTCAAACACAGCAGTTCGTCTCATCTATTTTATACTAGGCTCCTCCATAAGAGTTTATTTAGAAAAAGGGTTCCACTGCCTTCAAATCTGAAAACTGATTCAGACCTCAACTTTGAGCCTATCATTAGATGAGGGTGAGGTGGGGGTCAATTAAAAAATAAAAAGACCCAGAACTGACACAGAAGTTAGAATTAGGAGACAAGAACATTAAAGTAGTATTTATAACTGTCTGTCCTCTCTCCCTCACACACATATACACACAAAAGTAAGCACAGACATGGAAGATAAACTCCAACAGAGTTTCCTGTGATGATGGAAATGTTCAATATCTACACTGTCCAATATGATAGTGACTAGCCACATGTGGCTAGTGAGCACTTGAAAAGTGCCAAGTACAACTGATGTACTAAATTTTTTCTTCTTTTCTTAAAGTTTACTTGTTTTTAGTAATCTCTATGCCCTATATGGACTTGAACTCACAACACTGAGATCACGTGTCACACACTCTTCCAACTAAGCCGGTAAGGCATCCTAGGTTTTTCATTTTTAAATGTATTTAAATTTAGCCACACATAGCTGGCAACTACCATACTGAACACAACTCTGGAAAGTCTAGAGGAAGATGTCATCATAGAAAGGATCTAAGTGGAATAAAGGCTTCTTCTCTTAGATGAAGGTGATTAAATCTTTATAAAAGTAAGCCTGCATAACCAAAAGTAAACTTTACCTCGCTGACTTCACTTCATTATGTCATCGATCATTCTACCAATCCTCTTTTTTTTTTTTAAGATTTTATTTATTTATTTGACAGAGAGAGATCACAAATAGGCAGAGAGGCAGGCAGAGAGAGAGAGAGAGAGAGAGAGGAGGAAGCAGGCTCCCCGCCAAGCAGAGAGCCTGACGTGGGACTCCATCCCAGGACCCTGAGATCATGACCCAAGCGGAAGGCAGAGGCTTAACCCACTGAGCCACCCAGGCACCCCTACCAATCCTTTTTATTAAACAATTCCACATATATGCTTACTGCTACTAATATTACTATTCTCGTTCTTATAGTTCCTCTTCCTTCACTCTTCCTCTTGGGAATCTGGACTACCATAATGGAGAAGTATAAGCAGCCCTGGTATATATTGTCCTAATCACTCTACAGTTCTCAATATATTCTGCATTAGTATTTCATAGTGCACTGCGTACAAAGGTCTCTGAGTAGCAGGCATACAAGAAATGTTTTTGACAATAAAAATCTGAGAAAATAATACCTGAAAAGAAGACAGAATTATTTTGCAAGTAACTCTGTAGTTTCAATTTTTAATTAGGCAAAGCATTAAAAAAACAAATAAAATTGAGTCATATTCTCCACTGAGTGCAATTGAAAAGTCAGGGGGAAAAAGGACAAATGTTTTTTTTAATCTTTTTCGTCTTCTTTTTTTTAAAATGTTATTCATTTATTTCAGAGAGAGACAGAGGGAGGAAGGAGCGGGGAGGGGCAGAGGCAGAGGGAGAAGCAGACTCTTGCTGAGCAGGGAGTCCATCAAGTGGCTTGATCCCAGAACTCTAGGATCACGATCTGAGCTGAAGGCAGAGGCTTAACCAACTGAGCCACCTAGGCACCCTGAGAAATGTTTTTTTTTAATATAAAAGGATTATTTCACATAGCTGACTTATGTTCTGTGTCTTTGATGCTACAAATTATGAAGTAGAATTCCTACTATGGGAGATAAGTTTTAGATTTTTTTTTAAAGATTTTACTTATTTTATTAGAGAGAGCCCACACAAGCTGAGGAAAGAAGCAGAGGGAGAGCAGACTCCCCACTGAGGAGGGACTCTGACCAAGGGGGCTCGATTCCAGGACTTCTGGGATCATGACCTGGGCCGAAGACAGATGTTTAACCCACTGAGTCACCCAGGTGCCCCTTATTTTTAAAATGTTTTACAAACAAACTTTGTGGAATAGTTGTATTAACTACTAATTAAAGTAAATAGCAGTAGTATGATTGGAAAATCAACAAATATTTTATTGTTGTGGGGAGGGTAAATATACTTCATATAAAATTTAAATGTGCCTGGATAATGTGAAAAGGACATTTCTAAAACTGATATGGAAATGAATATACAATAAAATGCACAGACCTTCAGTGTGCAGCTTGATGATTTTTTTAGGACAACATTTTTAGGGAAAAATCCTTCCAGGGTTATCTTGTCAGATTTATGAATGATCACCCACAAGGTCAAAAAACACCTGTCTATACCACAATGACTATATTAAAAAAAAAAAAATTTCCCAAATGTTGTACCTCAAAATATGATTTAAATTTTTGGTAGTCATTTTAGTTTAAATAAAAGGATAAAAATATTTGATATTCACCTGACCCTCTGGCAATTAAGTCCATAGGCTGGAAAAGAAGTTATGGACATGTTTTGGGTTATCTTGTTATTCAAAGAACAAAAGATAATGAAATAGTAATTTATCAGTTTTTTGGAGCTATCAGAATAAAAAGACATTTGGTACATTTTATATATGCAAATAGGTACTTTCAATTCTGACTTCCGCTTTGGTGCAGGACTTTGAATAAAAGAAAAATTATTATATTTTATCAAACATCAATGCATAAAAACTGCACGAAAGTAACAAAATGGAAAGGGCACTGGAAAGAAATCAAGGCTATCTATGAATAAACTAGGTCATTTCGGTTGGCTTTGGTTGCCAAGCAACTGGGATTTCTCACAGTTTCCCTTTAGAATAATCCAGTCTTTAAGAGTTTTATTTAATTGTTTATTTCTTCTTCAAGACTTATACTAACATATTTAGGAATCAAACTAATAAGAAAACTTCCATGACTTATATGAAGGAAATTTAAAAACTCTAATGAAAGACAGGAGACAAATATAACTTCCTCCTCCAAAGGATGAGAGTAATATAAATATGTAAATTATCTTCAAATTAATCTGTAAAATCAACCCAAATCCAACTGGGGGGGGGGTAGGAGTTACCAAAATAATTCTATTCTATCTGAAGAAATAAGTAAAATACAGTAACTAGTTGGGGGTGCCTGAGTGGTTCAGTCAGTTAAACGTCTAACTCTTGATCTCTGCTCAGGTCTTGATCTCAGGGTTCTAAGTTCAAGACCTGCATGGGGCTCCATGCTAGGTATGCAGCCTACTTAAAAAAAAGAAGAATTTTTTTTTTTAAGATTTTATTTATTTATTTGACAGACAGAGATCACAACCAGGCAAAGAGGGGTGGGGGGGCAGACTCCCTGCTGAGCAGAGAGCCCGATACAGGGCTTGATCCCAGGACCCTGAGATCATGACCCGAGCCTAAGGCAGAGGCTTTAACCCACTGAGCCACCCAGGTGCCCTGAATGAATAATATTTTTTAAAAGATTTTATTTATTTACTTGACAGAGAGACAGTAAGAGAGGGAACACAAGCAGGGGGAGTGTGAGAGGGAGAAGCAGGCTTCCCGCTGAGCAGGGAGCCCGATGCAGGGCTCCACACCAGGACTCTGGGATCATGACCTGAGCCAAAGGCAGACACTTAACCAACTGAGCCACCCAGGTGTCCCAAATTTTTAAAATACAGTAAATATCTAATGGCTGAAAAGAGACAGCCCTATTCAATAATATATCAATACTGGAGATGTCATTAGCCCTAGGAACATGGAAACAGGAATGGAGCAGACTGGAATCCAAAAGGTAGTCCGTATTAGACACTGAGTAATGAAGTAATGTGGGCAAGTGAGCAGCCCACACAAGAGAGTTTATCAGGGCCATGCAAGCAGAATATGTATGCATGTCTACAAAAGCATATATATATATATATATATATATATATATATATATATATAT